AAAAATAAGGAAACTGGATGTAGAAAAGTGCCTTGCTGATTTACAGAGTTCTTTCGCGTTCACGATGTTAGCTAAGCACCAAAGCAAACAAGGTCTTTAGAAGAGACGCATTAATGCCACAGATCGGTCAACAGAGGTTGACAGAGAATCTTTTCCTCTTACGACTTTGGGTAATCTCGATACCAGCAATAGCTTCAGTCTTTCTATAGTGAAGAGGGGTCACTTCAGAAAATGAACATTCTAAAAGGAGGAAACTGCCTGAGTGGACCGGCTTCAGCAGTGTGCCTTCATGCTGATCGTGATGAGATACAGATTCAAAATTTTGCAAGAAAAATGCTAGTAACCCTGAATTAACAATAATTGTGGCACTGCTAATGTCTTCAACAAATACTTTGCTGCCTTTCTCATTTGATTGACCAGGTTCATGTAGTATAGTACGGCGCCTAAGCTCTTCTGCAACTGTTCCGCCCTTTCTCTTATCTTGCAGATTTTACTTATAAGAAGGGTTATATTAAGGAAGTGAATAAAAGACCTGATGGTTTATCGAGCAGAGCATGAATAAGCAAATCTCAAAGGTGCGAAAAAGTACAATTTCTCCTTAATTTTCATAATTTAGATAAAAGTTGGCCGTGACGGCAAAAGTTAGGTTGTAGTCCTTTATTTTTCTTAAACTTTTCCAATTACTTTAATTACATAACGATAACTTTGTGTGGCAAGTCAGAAACGGAGATTTAATTTGATTGTGGAATACTCAAAAATGGTCTCACAACATTATTTCTTATATGCTAAATGCTCCAATCTCTACTCCTTACCCCATACATTATTTTAAGTTTACATGAAGTGAAAAAGAAAGAAGGAGGGGAAGATGATGGGACAGAACGGGTGTGGAAGGTGACCGTCAAAAGTAGAAATGGAGAGTGTAAGGGTAGCTAAGTCGTGGCAGTCAATTAACTACTCCAACTAAGTCAACAGAGCTCCCTCGCACACATATATATGGTCGACAGGGGTTCTAGTTAATTCTGGGGACAATAGAGGTAAAAAATATATACAATCGACAGCAAATGTCCTGTCTTCACGCAAAGCATGAGAAACCTACCATATAAATTATCATATGCTCCCCATATTTCAATATGGATCCAAAAGTCAGTGACTACCAACTGTACTTTAGTAAACGGCATGCTTTGACGAGCAATAGAGGGGAGGAAAAGAGGGACATGCTTATAGCCACTACCTTGCCATGGCAAAGTAGTGGTCCACTGATGCCATACTGATCATTTTTGGCTTATGCGCAATTTGCTGCCCTCTGAATAACTGATTTATTTAGGTATCTTCTTCATCAAAGCTTGTGTAAAGTATTTGATTCATCAATAATCGGTGAAGCGTGCTGAGCAAATGCACTTACAAAGGAATAAGATCAGCTAATTATAGCACACATATTTATCAAAATGTTTAAGCACAGAAGAAGTGGATTTTAGATATACCTGCGTAATTAATAACTTCACGTTTGTGCATGTCAACTCAACAGTACCGCTAATGATCATCGTAGCAAAGCAGGCAATTCAACGCTTCCTCCCACCTCTAACGTAAGAAGTCGAGTAGAATCACTAAGCATCAGGGCTGAGGGCAGGACTGGACTTTCCAAAGAGTTAAATGGATTTGTCTGTCTTGACGAACAAAATCAGTGCCTAATTACAGACTGTTTAACATTTTCCTGTTCTCCTCTCCTTACCTCCCTGGGGTATTTAAGCCAGACTAAATATCACACTTACCCCTATATGCCTAAATCAAGGGAAAATAGATTCATAATTGACATCAGAAAGTCCATTGCAGGAATAGAAATATTTCTAAAGCATGGGACATCTAATTGACACAAACAGTTCTCCAGAAGTAACAGCAACAAATGTGCTACTTCAAGAAAAACAAGGTGGTAGAAATCTCACTAGAGGTGCCGCTAGCCTGTAGTGCGGAAAGCATTGCGAATGTACCACTCCCTCTAACGTTTGCCAACAGGACTCCCACGGAACTGACATTACGAAAGTAGCTAAGGCGATGCTCCATGGAGAAACAGGACGTTAATGCGATCGACCTAGTTTCCTTTGATAGTTGGATTTGCTGAAATGGAGTGGTCGAAACGGTGCACGGCAATCAAGGGGCTAATTTTGAAAGCCGACTCTTAATTGGCGAATGCAAGGTGTTTAGACGCTTCTCATAAGAAGCTAGTCTGGCTGTGTTTGTCATCTTAGGCTTTAATCGCAATCTTCAGGTTGCGCATCCCATTGGAATAAAACTTTTGGAGTTCGAATCGTCTTTTTGTCCTATATATTGCTTTTTGGATGTTCGGGTAGTGCTTACAACTTGAATATCTCAAAGATCCTGTAAGGTTTAGAAAAGATTCACTGAAGACCGTAAAGGACACTCCGTGTCGACGAATTTGGTGTGTACACTAAACTTGAGCGACGATTGTAATGTCTTTTGTCTTTGTGGCTT